ATTTTATTCAGGTTACCAGTGACCTTGACCTAAGTTTCAAGGTCAAGGGTAAAAAGATCTGCATGCTTCAGTATGTTACATGTCTTGACATTTAGAAGTTCTTAATTCTGCATGAACATCAAACACTCAAGTATACTGTCTTTTAATACATTGTGTGCGGTCGCATGTGCATGCACGTCCATGTATTTACTTTTGATAGTAGTATAATGTAGGCAATCATTATATCTATTCATATTTGAAATTTCACCCTGTATTATTGAGAACCAAGAAAGTTGTAGGCATTTAAAGTTTTAGCCAATCAGATTGCAGCACACGTGCATGTGCGTGCGTTCATGATTATTCTTATATATCATGCTGTAGATCTCCATAATGTAAGACTATGTTCAAAATTTCAAAGGATTTTGTCAGAAAACAAAATAGATATTTAGACTTTAAGTTTCAGCCAATCGCAGCGAAGGGCACCTGCATGCGCGTGAGATCTTGCTATTTTGACCATGTCATCATGTCTATACTACTATTATATCCTTATATTATGAGTTTCAAAGCATTTCATCCAATATTTAAAAAGTTACGGCTAAATCTATTATATTGGTCATTTCACGTGTTACACGTGCGCGCACCTGCACGCACGTGCGCGCAAAATGACCTTCGTTCCGCACATCTACATAACATACCTAGTGACCCTAAAAAGGTTTCACCTAGATCGGATGAGTAGTTTACGAGAACACTCGCGGACAAAAAAGTACCGGAGAACAAAGAAAAAATTCAGAAAAAGTAAAAACAATATGTTCCCAAACTTCGTTTGGGGAACATAATAAGGAGACTAATTGTTCAGATTACAATTTTGATTTTAATTCAGATAACAATATGAAGTTTTTTCACCTTCTTGAGTGTTTTCATATCATTTGGCTTCAAGAAAAGAAGTTAAAAGCAAAAAAATTAATAAAACAGCAAAATTCTAATTTTCTACTACCGTGTTTTTAAGATCGGGCTCGGGGTTGGTTATATTCAATAGTAGTTCCATACATGGAAAAGGGATTTTCCTTTCTGTTCAGAATTTTTTTTAATATTTCCTCTCAGGCCATTTTGACAACTCTGATACCTGTGCCTGGTAAATTTTATATACTTTGTAAATAAATATATAAAGGTTTTTTGACCGGAACTATTCATTTTTTCCAATGCATAGGGGGCTACTCTCTGGGTTTTACATGAGATGTTTAAAAAGACATTTGTGTCAGCTAATGTGACCTATATTGTTTAACACCTTCTTATTAATATTTTTTTCATGAATGCAAATATCTGATTATTTTACGAAGGAGCGTACATGTATACTGATTTTTAATATACCGAAAATCGCTATTTCTGGGGATTGCGTAATTCTAAAAAAAAAATTCAAATAAATTTCAAAGGTAAATTAAACAAAGGATGCTTGGTATTAAAATATTATTTCAAATCAGTAGAATCGAATGCTATTAACGACATCTGAATAAATAGGCTATAAAAGGCTTATATGCCAACTTTGGTCATCTGCACTTTAATTTTAAACACGACAGGATTTGTAATTTTTTCTGTATAAATTAATAATTTCTATATACTTTGGAAACTCAAATGACATATTTTAATACACTTTCCTCGAGCTCTTTTCTGCAGTTTTCCTGAAATTTTATATGGGTCCGAGGTGTTATTTGAGTTTAACAGTGATTCTCTACGTTGCCATTAATTTGATTTGTTTTGTGTGGGGTGGGGGGGGGGGGGGGGGGGTGGGGAGGGGGGTTATTTTTATTCTTAACCTATTTAACGTTGGAGTTGAATCTTGTATCTTATTCCAAGAACTTAAGATTGATTGTGACATTTGGATGAAAGGTCAAGGTCATTAAAAACCACCACCTCTTTAACTTCTAACCTGTCAACCGAAATAAACTCTGAAAGGTGTTTCTAGATACATGTACATGTACTTCATGTTTCTTTTTACCCTTGGGTCAAGGACAAAGGTTAAGGTCGATTTCAAGTTCATAGGTCAAGGTGATTTTGGTAAATAGTTAATATCAACATTTTATTCAGGTTACCAGTGACCTTGACCTAAGTTTCAAGGTCAAGGGTAAAAAGATCTGCATGCTTCAGTATGTTACATGTCTTGACATTTAGAAGTTCTTAATTCTGCATGAACATCAAACACTCAAGTATACTGTCTTTTAATACATTGTGTGCGGTCGCATGTGCATGCACGTCCATGTATTTACTTTTGATAGTAGTATAATGTAGGCAATCATTATATCTATTCATATTTGAAATTTCACCCTGTATTATTGAGAACCAAGAAAGTTGTAGGCATTTAAAGTTTTAGCCAATCAGATTGCAGCACACGTGCATGTGCGTGCGTTCATGATTATTCTTATATATCATGCTGTAGATCTCCATAATGTAAGACTATGTTCAAAATTTCAAAGGATTTTGTCTGAAAACAAAATAGATATTTAGACTTTAAGTTTCAGCCAATCGCAGCGAAGGGCACCTGCATGCGCGTGAGATCTTGCTATTTTGACCATGTCATCATGTCTATACTACTATTATATCCTTATATTATGAGTTTCAAAGCATTTCATCCAATATTTAAAAAGTTACGGCTAAATCTATTATATTGGTCATTTCACGTGTTACACGTGCGCGCACCTGCACGCACGTGCGCGCAAAATGACCTTCGTTCCGCACATCTACATAACATACCTAGTGACCCTAAAAAGGTTTCACCTAGATCGGATGAGTAGTTTACGAGAACACTCGCGGACAAAAAAGGACCGGAGAACAAAGAAAAAATTCAGAAAAAGTAAAAACAATATGTTCCCAAACTTCGTTTGGGGAACATAATAAGGAGACTAATTGTTCAGATTACAATTTTGATTTTAATTCAGATAACAATATGAAGTCCTTTCACCTTCTTGAGTGTTTTCATATCATTTGGCTTCAAGAAAAGAAGTTAAAAGCAAAAAAATTAATAAAACAGCAAAATTCTAATTTTCTACTACCGTGTTTTTAAGATCGGGCTCGGGGTTGGTTATATTCAATAGTAGTTCCATACATGGAAAAGGGATTTTCCTTTCTGTTCAGAATTTTTTTTAATATTTCCTCTCAGGCCATTTTGACAACTCTGATACCTGTGCCTGGTAAATTTTATATACTTTGTAAATAAATATATAAAGGTTTTTTGACCGGAACTATTCATTTTTTCCAATGCATAGGGGGCTACTCTCTGGGTTTTACGTGAGATGTTTAAAAAGACATTTGTGTCAGCTAATGTGACCTATATTGTTTAACACCTTCTTATTAATATTTTTTTCATGAATGCAAATATCTGATTATTTTACGAAGGAGCGTACATGTATACTGATTTTTAATATACCGAAAATCGCTATTTCTGGGGATTGCGTAATTCTAAAAAAAAAATTCAAATAAATTTCAAAGGTAAATTAAACAAAGGATGCTTGGTATTAAAATATTATTTCAAATCAGTAGAATCGAATGCTATTAACGACATCTGAATAAATAGGCTATAAAAGGCTTATATGCCAACTTTGGTCATCTGCACTTTAATTTTAAACACGACAGGATTTGTAATTTTTTCTGTATAAATTAATAATTTCTATATACTTTGGAAACTCAAATGACATATTTTAATACACCTTCCTCGAGCTCTTTTCTGCAGTTTTCCTGAAATTTTATGTGGGTCAGAGGTGTTATTTGAGTTTAACAGTGATTCTCTACGTTGCCATTAATTTGATTTGTTTGTGTGTGTGGGGGGGTGGGGGGTGGGGGTGGGGAGGGGGGTTATTTTTATTCTTAACCTATTTAACGTTGGAGTTGAATCTTGTATCTTATTCCAAGAACTTAAGATTGATTGTGACATTTGGATGAAAGGTCAAGGTCATTAAAAACCACCACCTCTTTAACTTCTAACCTGTCAACCGAAATAAACTCTGAAAGGTGTTTCTAGATACATGTACATGTACTTCATGTTTCTTTTTACCCTTGGGTCAAGGACAAAGGTTAAGGTCGATTTCAAGTTCATAGGTCAAGGTGATTTTGGTAAATAGTTAATATCAACATTTTATTCAGGTTACCAGTGACCTTGACCTAAGTTTCAAGGTCAAGGGTAAAAAGATCTGCATGCTTCAGTATGTTACATGTCTTGACATTTAGAAGTTCTTAATTCTGCATGAACATCAAACACTCAAGTATACTGTCTTTTAATACATTGTGTGCGGTCGCATGTGCATGCACGTCCATGTATTTACTTTTGATAGTAGTATAATGTAGGCAATCATTATATCTATTCATATTTGAAATTTCACCCTGTATTATTGAGAACCAAGAAAGTTGTAGGCATTTAAAGTTTTAGCCAATCAGATTGCAGCACACGTGCATGTGCGTGCGTTCATGATTATTCTTATATATCATGCTGTAGATCTCCATAATGTAAGACTATGTTCAAAATTTCAAAGGATTTTGTCTGAAAACAAAAAAGATATTTAGACTTTAAGTTTCAGCCAATCGCAGCGAAGGGCACCTGCATGCGCGTGAGATCTTGCTATTTTGACCATGTCATCATGTCTATACTACTATTATATCCTTATATTATGAGTTTCAAAGCATTTCATCCAATATTTAAAAAGTTACGGCTAAATCTATTATATTGGTCATTTCACGTGTTACACGTGCGCGCACCTGCACGCACGTGCGCGCAAAATGACCTTCGTTCCGCACATCTACATAACATACCTAGTGACCCTAAAAAGGTTTCACCTAGATCGGATGAGTAGTTTACGAGAACACTCGCGGACAAAAAAGGACCGGAGAACAAAGAAAAAATTCAGAAAAAGTAAAAACAATATGTTCCCAAACTTCGTTTGGGGAACATAATTATTTTATTGATAAGGAAAAATTAAAGCATTAATGGTTTTCTAAGTTTCTCTAAGTCTTGCTCATCTTGTATTTATTTGTTTCAGTCAGTCCAGTGGAACAAAAAATCAGGTAACTGTGAAATATTACATGTAATGCTATAATCAAACCTGATATTGGAATACATGATAAGTGAGTGATACTAAATGAATCTACAACACAGAGACTTGTACAGGGTGTTTCATTATATATGTTACATTTTTAAATCATATTATTTTTCTTACCTATCATACTTCTATTACAAATCAAATATCTTTTTAAACATCAAATCCTGCACTCAAGTTCCAAGTGAAAAAGTCAAGGAAATCATGGTCTTACAATGATTAATTGTGCTATAAACGCAGATGTCTTAATTTGAATATTTTTTGAAATGGACTTAATTTATCCATTCAGTGCTGAATTGTAAAGCCGTTTTTGTTATCAATTCATTTTGCCAATATTCATTCAGAAGTTGATGAAACAAATTTTCTAAAAAGAATAGAAGCTTTCTAGGGTGCTTATCAGAAGGCTAGTAACAAAGTTAAAGACAGGGACAGGCAATATATGATAAATGACACCGTGACGGTATTCCAGAAAGCCTAAAAACTTTAAAAGAAGCGGCAATTTATTTTGTGAAATGGAGACTCTTAGTGTAGCAAACTTCTAGAAAAGTGTCTGATAGATATTTTCAGAAATTGATCCTAGCAATGTCAGCATTTTCAGCATACATTGAACTTTGAAAGATGATTTGAAGTTATCAGCATACAATTTTCCAATAATGCAAGGAAAGGGTATGACCTTTGCATTCGACAATCTCAATCTTTGAGCTCTTTTCTGTAGGGGGTTAAGGAACAGGGTCTACAATTCTAGACATATATTATGAAACACCCTGTACATGGTATTCAGTATATTAATGTTCAAGATATTAAGGTTCAGCTGCATTTCAACATACATGTATATAGTTAAAGATGTGCGAAAATCATGGCCCTGTATTAAAATCTGGGGGTAGTATATTATAAAGTCTAATTGTCCATGTGTGTGTCTATCTCTTTGTGTATCTATTGTTTACTTGAGTATACTTCAACTAATAGATTTCACAATATAGATGGAATTTTTAGCAGCCATCTAATTTTGGTTATAACATCAATCTTAGATATGATAATGATGGATATTATTATTTATTAAAGAGTTATTCCCAAAATTTTTATATACTGATTTCTACAATAAATTATAATACACACTTTTAGGAGAAAAAACTGCTAGATTTGCTGGTCACTAGAATAATCTTATATACATGTAATTACAATTTTTACTATAAAATCACTAGATGTGATAAGAGAACACCAATTTTTAAATCACTTGTACAAAGGCTACTTAAGTGTAACATCATGATACATTTATTACACTTTGTCATTCTTAATAGGTGTCAGCCCTGAGTAACCTGAAGAGAAAGTTTTCTAGTGTCTTTGCCAGGACTGAGGCACTGGGAGCTGTATCACCCTCAACTAAAGACAGAAGTCCTGCCTCTAAACGTTTGTTCTCTCTCTTATTCTTCCGAGTGTATTACTTTTCATTCTTAAACTGGAAATCCCAGTAGTCTTTAGTATATCCCTATGATAGAAAATTAACTTTACTGTAAATGTGTTGATATTATGTACATTAAAAAAAGTTTTTCATTTACATGAAAAAATATTTCATCTTGTAGAAAGAAGGCTTGATCACTTTGTTTTCAAAACATCTCCTATGAAAGACATGAAGAATAGTGTCCGAGACTTGGATTCGTGGTGGAACAAATCAGAGGAGACCGTTATCACACTGGAAGAGGATGGGGATAAGTCCTCAGATTTCCTGACAAGGGAGGTCAGTACAGAGACGATTACAACAGAGGGCGGAGTTATGGGACCTGGAGGAGACTGTTCAGATCTGAAGGTTGTGTTTCATGAATCAGAAAATATGAATTCTGTCACCAACCAGAGCGGAGAAGAAAGAAATTCTGCATCTGACGATGGAGTCTCAAACTGTCATCTATCTTGTTCAGTGAGAGTTAATGACTCACAAGGGGAATGTGGTGAAGATAATATTTTGTGTTCAAAGGGCAGTAGTCCTGCCATTTCCAAATCATTAAATGATGAAAATTGCTTTAAGTCTTCCATGGGCAATTCCAAAAATAATATGTGTTCAAATGAAACAAATCAAAATACCACAGAGTGTTCCAATGATAACTCCCTATGTTCAAATCTTTATTCTTCCAATGTAAGTGAGGGTTTTGTCAAAAGTCTATGTGATTCCTCAAATTATTCTGAGGACAATGGATTAACTTCAGAGAGTACTTCTGGTGATATTAACAAGTTTTCAGACAGAGACAGTGATGATACCTGTTTAAAGGTAAATCCTGTGTGTAAATTGTTCAGTGTGTCCTCAAACCAGCCAGAAATCTCATCTACCGACACAGACAACCTCCATCTGACAGTCACAAGTCTGGTAAGCATTAATAAACTAGATTCTTCCTCAAGTGTTTTTATTTTCAAATGATAAAGTAATGCTTGAATTGATCTACATGTATTGGAATTTGAACAACATGTTCCTCATTGTATACAAACCTGCAAATAATAAAGTGATAATGAAAAGATGAATTGTAGGATACAAAAGAATCTCTCTCTAGAAGAGAAACAACGGTGCCTTTCAGCTTCTTAAAGCTGAAAGAGAAATTAAAGAAAGCTTCAAGTAAGTATGCTACTTGATGATATTGATGGATAAAATGGACCTAGTGACCTACAGCAATCTACAATTTTAACGAAGATTACAATGTGTTCACAGCTGTGTTATCATGCCAATTTATTTTTGATTTCCAGAAGAGAAGACCAGTGATATAGAGAGCTGTAGGAGATTCCGCGCGGTTATCTCCCCTACCGAGAATCAGTCGGCAGAGGAGGAACTACAGCGGGAAATCTCGTAAATAAATTTATCCTCGGTCTTTACAAATCTCATAAACATACGAAATCTAATCTATAGCTAATAATTGTGCATAATACCAAAGGAATTTTTAAAATATATACATGTCAGGATGGGATATTATTCATTTATTGTACTGTTAATTGATACATGTACTAGTATTACATACATGTATAAGCAGCATCTCAGTGTCTCATTTGCTTTATAGACAAGTCAGATTTTCAAAATATGGTAGAAAATGTGTACTTTGTGTCTGTGATTGATCACCTAGCTAAGTCTGATTAAAAAAATTGTTTCTTTCAGAAAAAGCATGTTCAAAGAAATGGAAATTCTTGGACAGGTAGGATGACAGATATTTACCTATCTCAAAATACTGTAGATCACTAAATATTCGCGACACCTTATTTTCGCGAGATAGTAATTGACTAATTAATAACGAGACATAATTTTCACGAACTGATGTTTTTTTTTTTACATATTCGTAAGGAATACTTTTATATGCGAGAATGAAATTTTAGCGAGCTCATTTGAAATTTTAGCGAGCTCATTTTCTTGCGTAATTACGCAAAAATAAAGTTCTCGCGAATAAATAGTGATTTACAGTACTCAAGTCTATGTTTTTTTTAAAATGATATTAATTATAAAAGTTTGATTCAGACATGCAACAACCCTTAAAATTTAATGGTAAAATGATCTTAGAAGAATATAATGAACACATAATTTAATGGAACTTAACTTTTTTTTTACTTTTCAGTTCAACTTAGGATTTATCATTGTGAAGCTGAACAGCGACTTGTTTATCGTGGATCAGCATGCAACAGATGAGAAGTACAACTTTGAAATGTTCCAGAGACACACTGTTATACAGAGTCAGAAGCTTATACAGTAAGTATAGAGTACACTTGTCCAGAGTTTAACAGAATCAGGAGTAAGTTTACAATACACTGTTATACACAGTCAGAAGCTTCTTTCGGTAAATTTGCAATACAATTTGAACATATGATATATCCAGCAAGTACACAATACCCCTGATGTAGACTGTGTGAACAGATTACTACAATCTGTACACTATGTTGTTTATAACTGGGTTCTGTAATACTAACAAGTGATCCCACTTCCATTGCAGACCTCAGAACCTGGAGTTGACGGCCAGCAATGAAACCATTCTGATTGACAGTCTGGAGGTCTTCAAGAAAAATGGATTTGACTTCATCATTGATGAATCTGGTATTTGTCTAATTTACACAGTTCTTAATTACTGTATTCTGTTTTGATTTAGGCAAACTTTAAAGTAATGTTTGGATGTCCTCTCCCAACTTGGGATAAATAAATTTGGTTAGAAGGTTGGTGGGGAAAAAATTCCAGAAAGCTTCAATATCTGCAATGCTGAATTTTCAATTTCTATTTCAGGAATTGATAAAAATACAAGTGTTTCCTGGAAGTGGAAAAAAGTTTTGAGCTGGACTATTTTTAGCCAGTCTGTCAGGAGAGGGAAACCAAACAGTTTTTTAAAGATGGATATTTTGTTCAATCATTTAATAGTTTGTTAATTGATTCAGATTTACATAGAAATCTTGACATTTCAGTTTTGTCAACATCATATTCATTGTTGAACTTTAATTCAGTATCAGTTGGTATTTGGAATTACTAGTACTCTCATATTCAATCAGCTAATATGAACAGTTCCATTTCTGAAATTTTCCATTCTTTGTGTACTTGAAAAAAAAAAACATTTCTCAGACACTCAAACCCATTACTTAAATATTCAATGTGATTCTATCAATTTTAACTTTTTAAAGCAATGGTTAAACAATATTAGTCATTTGATGATGAAACAAGAAAATACTTCATTGGAATTTTAAAAAATCCTTGTTTTATAGAGGGATTATGTTTCTTCCAAATATTATTGATGAAGAGCTACGCCATCATCACAATAATACAAAACAGAAATATATATCTTATTCTGGCCAAAGTATTTATGAGACAAAATAATCATGCGCAGTGCTTAACTCTAGGTTGATTTTCTGCTCCTCTGATGTGATTAACTCTTGATTGACTTTTTAGTTCCTCCAATAAAGTGATTAACTCTTGATTGACTCTTTAGCTCCTCCGATTCAGTGATTAACTCTTGACTTTTTAGCTCCTCCAATGCAGTGATTAACTCTTAATTGACATTTTTAGCTCCTCTGATGCAGTGATTAACTCTTGATTGATTTTTTAGCTCATCTGGTGCAGTGATTAACACATGGTTGACTTTTTAGCTCCTCAGATGCAGTGATTAACTCTTAATTGACTTTTTAGCTCCTCCAATGCAGAGAGTAAAACTGACATCAATCCCTGTCAGTAGGAACTGGACATTTGGCAAGGAGGGTGAGTAAAAAATGTACAGTAAAGTCTACAGTAAATCACACATAAAAAATTCTGTATTACAGCTTAGATCTGGGGAGCTACAGACTATATACATGTAATGTTTTTACTTGAAAAGAATGAAACTTCACATGCATTATAATAGAAATTCTAAAAATATCTCAAGAAAAATGCTATACATGTACAATTACTAAATTGAGAATCAACATTGCATTAATCCTCTGTTCCCCAAAGTAGCTCAGTGGTTTGAAAATTTGATTCAAAGTTGTTCCTAATCACTGGACTTTTTTGTAGAGTCCCTATCATGCTTTATCTTTCAATTTATTTGTGTTATTATATAATTATTTACCATTTCATGGATCCTTTGCCGTAATGCATATACTCAGTTAACTGTTAAGTTCCATTGGCTTTTGTACAAAATTATTTTCTTTTCAGACATCGAAGAACTCATCTTTATGCTTTCTGACTGCCCTGTAAGTCTCGTCATATTTTATCTTCTCCAAATGTCATGCCAACTTATTTGAATGAAAAATGGCAAAGCAGCATGTTATCATTGTCATTTGACAAAAATGTAAAACATTTTATGCTGTGTTAGATGGTATTTAAAGAAAAATCAATAATGAAAAATTAAACAATAAATCTAATATTGTGTTATCTGCTATTGATTTTGTCTTTTGTTTCTTTTCATTTATATGTACTTAGTATCTATATTTAAATGAATAATGGTTATCCATAAGCAAATTATGTAAAGAGTGCCAAGTTTAATGTATTGGATTGATCTGCATTTTGTCTGTTTTTCAGAATGTTATGTGTCGACCATCAAGGGTCCGCCAAATGTTTGCATCCAGAGCTTGTAGAAAATCTATCATGATTGGCACTGCTTTAAAGAAATCAGAAATGAAGAGGGTAATGTTTACTTTTCTCAAAGCCATAAATGTGACATAATTTTTGGTTCATATTGATCATTAAATATTTAAAATATACTGACTTTCTGTTTGTTATAGCTTGTATGTCATATGGGAGAAATAGATCAGCCTTGGGTATGTATTTCTCCTGTTATAGATAAATTTTCTATTTTGTACACAACTTTCTTGTAGGAAAAAATTTGTGTTCAAACAATGCAAAATTTAAAAAATTCAAGAATTTTCCACTGAATAACCATTTTTTCCCCAGAATTGTCCTCATGGCAGACCGACAATGCGGCATCTTATCAACCTGTTAATGGTTCCAAGATAACAACAAAGACAGTCTCAAGACCGTGTTAAATAAAAAACAATAGACAGACATGCCAGCGGCTTCCTATGAGAGTTGCAAGAAAGAAAAGTGAACTTTTATATTAGCATGTTATTAGTATAACTGTAGAAAAAATAAATGAAACAGACACTGATTACTACTGACTACATTTTCTGCCGTCCTGTTTTATGTTTAATTGAAAATGAATATAAAGTAAATTGTGAAGGTAATGACAGTAGGCCTATTGTGGTAAACTCTTTTCGAGGCTCTAGAGGATGCTCCATGTTTTCCAGGGAATTTTTTCTGGAGTTGTCCTTGGAAATCCATTTAATTCAACATTGCAGTGTTTTGGAGGCATCTTATTCCCCTTTATGCTTATCCTTTATGCTTCTGAAATAATATGCAAGATCTGAATTGATATTAAAGAAAGGCTTTGAATAAAGAATTTTAGCTCACCTGCACTCAAGACTCAAGTGAGGATGTTAAAATAAAATAATTAGTTGTTGAAATTTAATAAGCTTCCTGTATTCTCCAGAACCACAAGCCAATGTCCATAAAACTTGACAAAGAGTATTCCCTGATTAAAATTAATTAAAGCTGGTCATTTGATCAATGGTTTTGATAAGTCTTGTCAAATGTAGATTCAAGTTTGTTCAGATCATGGCCCCTGGTGTAGGTTGGGTCAGAATTATACAGACAAAAAATTGTTTACAAGAAGAGCAGGATATTATGCTACATTGTAGCACACCTATAAATGTGCATTTCTTGAAGAGTAGTCACAAGAGGAATCAAATGTTCTAATGGAATACCTAAGAAAAAAAATCAAAGATTCTATTAGTGGTTAGCTCAGTTTTTAATAAACCTTTCAAGAAAGTTTATCAAAATAAACATGCTGATATATATTAGTGCTATTCATCTGCATCAACAAACTTATGACCTTGACCTTTTCTTTGACCTCAACCTCACATTTCTTAAATTTGCATTTTGCTAAGTTTTAAAGAAACTGTTCAGATATTTTTATGTAAGCTTATGCACAAAATAATTGAATTTTGCTCCCCGTTGAGAGTGGGATATTTTAATTTTGGTCTGTCAGTCCATCCATCTGTTTAGCTGTCTGTCTGTCTGGATTTCTGTCTGTCCGTAACATTTTTGTTTCCAGTGATATCTCAAGAAGCTTTTGAGCTTTTACAAAGATATTTTTCACAATAACTCATAAAGAAGATCCCTATTGATTTTGAGGTCAAAAGTCAAAGTTCAAGGTCATAAATCATATCTGTTTTTACACTTCTGTTTCCACATCATATCTCAAGAAGCGTTTGGGCTTCTGTAATGTCATTTTAAACTACAACTTCCTGTGGCGTATGAAAGACCCCTTTTTATTTGAGGTCAAAGGTCAAGATCGTTAATTCATACATTTTGTGTGTGTGTGCGTGTGAATCTTTTATTTCCGATCGATATCCCAAGAAGCTAATTATAAGTTTTGGCAATTTAATTTTATACCATAACCTACCCACCTTGGCTTTTAAAAGGGCCCCCTTGACCTCCCCATTTCTTTTTTTTCCTTAATTAAAAAAATCACTCAAGCTATTCTTATCAAAAATTTCATATTGCATTAATAGTTCATACTCGGTGGGGCATTCATGTCCTGTAGACATATTTCCAGTTTTCTTTGAATTTCTATCTAATATTTCGATCTGTGATGCCATCTTACTCCTGGGGTCATGGTTTGAACAAATTTGAATCTAAACTACATGTGGATGTTTCTATATAAGTATGACTGATCATAGCTTTCCTGTTCTTGAGAAACACATATGATTTTTAACATTTTTTTTATCCCCAATACATGTTTATACCCATGTAAAACTTTCCCCCCATAGTGGTCCATCCTACCCCCTGGGGGAGGGGGTAAAT